GATGGATGCTAACTAGACTTACTGCGGTAATCATTATGTTGTATACCTGAAACTAATGTGTTATATGTCAATGATATCTCAACTGAAAAAAAAGGAAGGAGATTTTGACACCTGCTACCACATGGATGAATACTGAGGACATTATGTAAGTGCAATAAGCCAGTCACAGAAGGACAGGTACCAGGCGATCCTACTTCCACTTACAGGATTCTAAGAGGTACTTAGAGGAGTCGAATTCATAGAGACGAAGTGGATGGCAGGGGCCAGGGGCTGGGGAGGGGGACAAGGAGTGAGTGTTTAATGGGGCCAGAGTTTCACATTTACAAGATGAAAAGAGTTATGGGGATGGAAGGTGGTGACGGCTGCACAACAGTGTGAATGTATTTAATACCACTGAACTATACACTTAAAAATTATTGTTATGTTATGTGTATTTTAACACAATGAAAAGAAAAAAGAGTGCCCGTCCCAGCTACTGCACTGGGCCTGACAGGGTGGGACAGGAGGGGACAGAGAGCAGATGAGGAAGCCCCAGACCTCCCCCTGCCACTCCTGGATCCCGGCCAAGTCCCTTCCAGCTCTTCTACTTGTGAAATGGGATCATGCAGCCAGCTCACAGGTGTGGGGAGTAAGTGACCAGGTGATGTACCTGCTGGCAGACACCTGGCCCAGAGCAGGGCTTAGTAAATGCCCCACATCTAAAGCTAACAGCAAACTAGGAGTGTGGGGCCTGGGGTCAGGGGCAATGTCACCCCCTACCCAAGATGCATCCAGAGTGCAGGCCCAGCTCACACGCCTGTGTGCAGAGAGAGGCTGGCCTGCGCCCCAGTCAACCCAGCAGCTCAGGGAGCCCACTCTGGGGTACCTCAGCTGAGTGACTCTCCGCCAGCATCACAGACAGGGGTGCCATGCCTCTCCCGCTGGGGTGGGGGGCGCAAGCTAGGAGGGAGGTGAGGGCAGCTGGTCAGGGCCAGGACACCCAACACACGGGCAGAGGGAAAGGCTCCAGCTCCTCCCAGCCCTGGGCACCACTCGTTGCCAGCACCAGCCCACCATACCTGGCCGCAGGATGGGCAGGCACGAGGGTCCTGCTGGCCTGCGGCCCAAGCACAAAACCAGGTAAGGAGAACAGTCTGGAGGTTCCCCAATCAGTCAGACATAGAATCACCATGTGACCAGCAATTCCACTCCTCAGTCTACACCCAAAAGACTTGAAAGCAGGCACGCAAACAGATACTTGCACACCCATGTTCACAGCAGCACTATTCACAATCGCCAAAAGGTGGAAACAACCCAGGTGTCCCTTGGCGGGTGAATGGATCAACACACGTGGTCCATCCACACAAGGGAATATTCTTCAGACTTAAAAAGGAAGGAAATTCTGACACATGCTACAACACGGATGAACCTTGAGGACATTGTGCTGAGTGACATAAGCCACAAAAGGACAAATCCTGTAGGGTTCCACTCATATGAGGTCCCTGGAGGAGTCAGGTTCACAGAGACTGAAAGCAGATGGTGGGTGCCAGGGGCTCGGGGAGGGGGACGGGGTTGTTGTTTAATGGGGATGGAGTTTCAGATTTACAGAATGAAAAGACTTCTGGGGATAGATGGTGGTGACGGCTGCACAACAATGTGAATGTACTTAATGCCATTGAACTGCACACTTAAAATGATAACTTTTATATTATTTATATTTTGCCAGAATAAAAGAAAAAGTTTTTTAATCTAAAACTAGGTGAGCTGCTGCCCCAGGGAGGGGGGGACTGTCTGCCCAGGCCACCCCTCAGCAGCCCCTGCCAGCCACACACTCAGGGGACCCTCTCCTAAACTAGACCAAATTCCTGCAATTCCTCTCACTAAGATGCTCCTGGCCTGGCCTACAGCAATTTCTGAAAAGTCACCTCTGCCTTGAAGCCTTCCGGGCTTGAGTGAGGAGCTCCTGCTCCGAGTTCATCGCCTCGGCCTTGCAGGCACATACTCCAGTCCTGGCCGAGTCTTGAGGACCGGTCCCCTGGGCCACTCACACACAGACACTCTTCAGTCCTGGCTATGGAAAACACGCCCGGAGCAGGAGGGTCTCCACACAGTCACCCCAGACCATGTGTCTTGTCAGAAATGAAGATTTCCTTGTTGAGCCCAAACCTCACACATTGGAAGGCCCAGGTGCTCTCAGAATTGGTTTCACCTGCTGCTCTGGGCGAGTCAGACAGCCAGGTGACATGCATCAAAGTACCAAAAAACTGTCACCCACCTGCCAACCCAGTGAAAAAGCTGAGACCCCCGTCCCTCTGGGGCATCAGACCCCAGGCTCAAAGGGGAGACTCTGTCATTTGTCCCAACTAGGTAGGCAACTTGGAGGAAGTGCCGAGGCACCGCCTGCCCGGGACAGGGACCCCCACTCAGGCCTTGCAGAGGAATGGACCCAGGTGCCCCCACCCACCCAGGCCTGTAGTGAGGAAATCCCCTCTGGGAGACTGTGAGACGGGGAGTCCGTATTGGGGCACGTAATGGGGAGGATCGGGAGCAGGTCCTGTGGGAGATGCAGGGACCCCCCCAGACTGCCTCCCTCCCAGCCGCCCTCACATGGCCAGCTGGCCAGGTCTTCCCATGTCTACTCCAAAAAACCCCAGGCCTAGAGATTAGAGGCAGCCCAGGCCCATCCTGTGCCCTGCTGTCAGAGCCAACGCCACAGGGACCCCACTCCAGGATGCCCTGCTCCTGGCTAGCTGTGGTCGGGAAGAGCAGCCATGAGCCAGCCCGTGTGACACACCATCCCTCCTGCTGCCCCCATCAATGCCAGCGTGGCCCCTAGTCACCCATCTGGGCCACAGCAGGGACAGGAGGCCCCAGAGGCACCCCACAGTGGCACAGAACATGCACAGACCACATGGGCTTCAGCCGAGAAGCAGAGACCATGGGCGGCATTGCACGGGGTCACAAGGGGGAAGAAGGGCAGCAGGTCTCATCTCCTGACCCCGTGGAGCAGGGCAGAAGGCCAGAAGCGGGCACAGCAGAGCAGGCGGGGCTGGGGCTGGGGCTGGCGTCAGGAGACCTGGTCTGCCTTTGAGGCACCAAGTCCCCTAAGACAGCTCAAGTTCTCAAGGCCTCAGTCTCCCCAGCTGTAAAATGGAGGCAACTGCCCACATCTCGCCTGCTCTACAGGGCTACCAGACAGAGGAGGCAAGATGCTGATGTCATGGGCCAATTCTGAAAAATGAGAGGCTTGGCCCAAGGCCAGGGAAAGCTGGGCTCCTCAAGAGCTGACTGCTCCAGAGCCCAGCATGCCTGCCTCGGGGCAATGGCCCCTGGCCCCATTGGGTGGGCTGGGCATGGCAGCTGCAGGGCCCACCATGCCAAGGAAGACCCCTCTCCCTCCTGCGAGGCTGGGGGGCCCAGAAGTGGCTGGAGGGAGGCTCTGGTCCAAAGAAGCCGCTCCTGGGCAGTGCGGCCAGGAAGGAGAGGGTCAGGGCCCTCATCTCCCCAGGCCAAGCCTGAGAGCGGGCCGTGCTGACCACCTGTTCTCACCGACCTCGCCCTGGCATGGCCAGCTTTCCTGGACAAGTGGAAATACAGGTCTGGGAAAGGGGGGTGGGGAGAGTCTGGGGTGAGCCCAGCTGGCAGAAGCAGCGCACAGCAGCGATGGCACTGCCGCGCCCACCGCACCGCCGGGGCGGGCCCCGTGCTGTCCTGTGTGCACGAGGCGGGAGCGGGAAAGGCCGTCTCAGCCTGCCCGGCTTCCAGAAAAGCCTGTCATTGCCTCCCCTCTGGGACACTCAAGCGGCCAACCAGACGATTGCTAGGACCTGGGGCTGTCAGAGACCCCTCCCAGCCCAGGGGGTGGGCAACAGGGCAGAGCTGGGGACTGGGTCCTATTTTGGGGGTATCCAGAGGCTGTGCATCTCAAACAGGTGTCTTGGGACAGATGCAGGGTCTTCCCACCTTCCCTGTCTGGGGGGCCTCGGCCACTCCATGGTGCTAGGTTTGTTCTAAGGGGCTCAGACTAGGAGCCCCCAGTGGAGTGTCCAGTGACCTCTGGGGGACAGCCCCTGAGTTAGGCCACCCTCCAGGGTGGGGGCATGAACAGCTGAGCCTCTAGGGGCTGTGCCTGCCCACTCCCCACGGCCCCCCAGCCCCCGACCTGCAGAGGACCAGCCAGGGGCTGCCTGCTGGGAAACAGAGTCCTGCTGGTCTGAGAGCCCAGCCTTTCCTGTTCCTGCCAACGCAGGACGAGTTGCCCCAGGAAGGAAGAGGAAGCACCCCAGGACACTAGCGCCTTGGAAATCACCCCAGAGCAGTGGCGACCAGGGAGCAAAGTCCAGGAGATGCCTGCCGGCAGGATGAAGTGCAGGTGGACCGGGTGCCTGTTCCGAGTCGCACCTGCCCCCTGCCCCACCTGAACCGGCCACCTGCCCCAGAGCAGTTGGGCGTGGGGCTGGGGGAGGGGGAGCTCGCTCCCACCGGGTCCACGTGGAGGCGGCCGGGGCTTCCTCCTCCTGCTGGGTGCACGAGGGTGGCTCCAGGGGGAGGCCCATGACGTCACCTCCAAGTGGCAGGGAGCCAGGTGGACCCCACACCCACGCACGGAAGCCCGCCGGCCGGCTCGACCGTTCTCCCCCTGCAGCCGGTCGCCCGCCGCGATTTCCTCTTTCTTTGCGGAGCCCCGGCTTTCGCAACGCGGCGGCGGTCCCCGGGTGACAGCGAGACACGCAGCCTGGGGGGGAGGGTAGGCGACACAGCCTCAGGCCTGGGGCCGAGGGCAGGCGACGTCCGGGTCCCCGCAGGTGCACGCCGGGCCCGCGCCCCACCCGAGCGGGGACCAAGCAGCGCGGCCCGCACCCCCAGCCACGCAGGCGCCGCAGCACCCCTCCCGGGCCCTGAGGCGAGCATCCAGGCCGGCACCCGCCCAGACCAGCACCTACCCTGGGCGCACCCACCCAAGCCCGCACCCAGCCAGGCCCCGCACCCACCTGGCTCGCACCCCCCCGGCCCGCACCTACCCGGGGCGCCGCAGTCAGCACAGTACCCGTTCCCCGGCCGCTGTAGCAGCTCCTGGACGGCCCTCCGCCGCTCCTTGGCCATGGCCGCGATGCCGCCCGCCCGCGAGGCCGGGGCCGGGCTAGGAGCGTCCGCCCCGCCGCGCTAGAGCCCCGCACAGGCCG